TAGGTAGAATAAGAGTAAAGTTGCAGATTGCTTTAGTTTTTACCAATGTATTTTATGATCGATAAGATATTCATTCGTTCATGATTGCTTTCATTATGAATTCCCGTTGGCGATATAAATTAGCCAACTGTTTGAAATCAAGCAAATGAGATACAACCATTCCAATAAAAACGAGTGAATAAGTGCGAAAGAAAGAAGGGCTATGCATTTTAAAAGCTTTTTCTTTTCTTCCTGCCGTAATGGATCTGTCTAACAATCCAAAAAAAAGCGGAATAGAAGAGTTATTCACATGAATATGATAATTTACAAGATCTAAACGAACATAAAAAGCTTTTAAAAACTGCGTTCTGACAATTAATATCACAAAATTTGCCATCACATAACCCGAACTTAAACCTAATAAACAAATATACGGAAAAACCACGCTCCGTTCCGTTTGATGAACCATTTTGGAAGTTTCAACCGAAGCATTTCCAACTTTGGCTGATGGCGCACTTTGCTGAGTGGACTGTTGACTATACCAATTTCATTCTTCTTCTTGTTCTAGTGCAGAGAATTAATTCATTCTCTTTACTGTATTCAGAAGCATGAAGGTCAGTAGGGTATGTTGCATAGTATGTATGTATGCGTAGATTTAAAGTATATTATACTTAAATTTATATATTATAGTTACATACGTTCAAACTTATCCATTATACTTACACACATTTAAATTATGATATGGAGATTTAAACTAAACGCGCAATTCATTTGGACAATCCGTCAAAAACGTTCCACTTCATTAATTCGCTCATAGACGCAGCCAACCATTCATAACGATAGTGATATTGATTATGATAATAATAGTGGTGCTCATGAGGTTGACTATGACAAAAATTACTCAGAAACAAACATATAAACAAATAATTCTGAAACGCTTATCTCAACATTACTCCAATCGGTAGTAGTGATAACGTTTCTTTCCGATCACTCACTTAATCGTCCTCTTCATATCAATTTCCTTTCATTACTAGCTTGAAAACAGAAAAAACGATTATTTTTTTGCTATTAATATGAAAAATGAAAAATATTCTAACATCATCACTAAATCAATCGGAACGATCGTCGACGAAAAATCAAAATAACAACAATGATGACAATAATGATCATATTCGTTTTGTGCCATGATTTATCCAATCCACCCAGTCAGGCATGCTACATACATTATTCGTCTCCAATTCTCCACACTCACTATTATGAAACAACAATACTTTCTTGTACCGAATCAACTGAATGTGAATAATATGCATTAAGATAAAAAACAATACACTTCATTCATGAATTTTTTTGTTGCTGATTCAACTGCAATGTCATGCCGTCACAAAATCAGTATTAATTCTTTACAACAAACGCTAAAAGCAAAACTCTATACATTCTTATAAACCGCACACTCATGATTCACCATATCAATATGATTGCTTTAACTCATCGCATACAGTACACGTACATCAGCATCGCTTCTTTTGGCTACAACAAACAAATCTTCCTTTCGATAAGAGGGCAAATGAGAAAATGAAATGCATACATACTTAAACGAAGACAAACAAGAGATTGGTTACGTTTCGTAAGCAACCAATAAACTTTCAGAGGAATATAATAAATAATAAAAAAACGAGCACAAAAATTCACATCGTCGTTCGAACAAAATGAAAGGCCATAAGGAGAATACGTATTAATATCAGTGTTATTACTATTATCAAACTATGACTATCAAAATTATCATAAGCTATTGAAGCTTGATACTTGTCAAGCAGTAATTCAAACAAACGTATACGGGCATGGCATCACTCCATCAAGGACGACCACCTTCAGCTAAAGTACATGTAAAATAAATAAAATGCCGTGTAAAAGGATAATTGGCAAGCAAAAGTGCCGAGTAAATTTATTTTTCTCATCCTACAAAAACGATCGCAACGACGATGAATCACACACAATCACAATCTCAACAGCAATCATCCAATACTATCCACCCATCCATCAACATTTCATATAATACTTTCAGATTCAGTTTAACAACAACATAACCACTTCAGATTCTACGATATAATAAACTCAACAACATCTTCATAAAACAAATATCGCCATACTTTTTGTTTCTTCCTAAATCATCTACTGTCTCGTCTTCACGTATTTGATATCCACATATCGATTTATTTTATGCCTAATTGCAAATTCACTCTGGAGATTACCGCAACAAATAAATAAAAATGTTTTCTGTTATTGTCACTCCTCCTTCAAGATGATGGATGATGGCATAATGTTCCCAGGAACTGAGATAGTAAAACAGTTTAATAATGAGCTCCTTAGAGAAGACTGTTATTACGGCAGTAATAATATCATCCGAAGCAAGCTGACATTCCGCTCATACGCTTAGATTTTGGCTTTTCCAGACGTGTGCTCGGGCGATAGCATTTGAAATCGATAGTGGGCATATTGTATAACATAACATATGGTCGCCTGCATACAACATCACTTTTATCAGCACCGCGATCCCTAAATGGTCCGCACATCACTAAACTACGTGCAAGCGTCCTCTTGCCAGTCTGCCGAAAAGCAAAGCCTGATGATATAAGCTGTCTGGCGAAGTTCAAGCTCGAGTTTAAACTTTCGGAAAATGGCTGAGATGTAGTGACTGCAACTGAGGACGAACGCGTTACTGCTGCTGCTTGTCATAGCTTATAGTTACCTTAAACATAAGCGCCTTCGTATTTTATATGAATGTGGTATGGTAATAGCACTCGCGATTGTAACTAGTAATAAGAGTGAGAAAAGTTGTTTGATTGATTGATCGATTGATAGACGGATGGATGAATGGATCGCATCGACTGACTTTTTCAACACGACACGACAAGATAAACGACATATGCGAAATTTCAACTGACAATAGAGAAAAC